TAAGATACTTGTACTTTTACTCAAGTATCACTTTGAGGTACCTTATACAACACTGCTTAAAGGCAACATCCTGGGGGCTGGACATTTGTGAAGGGGGGAGTTTTTGGGGACATCGCTGGGTAAACACTGCAAAATGAAGAAAAACAATTTGTTTTGTTGAATGAAATTCTAAATTTTAAATTAACAACAGATTTAAAACATAATTTAATTGACTAAGTGAAAGAAAAAAAATTAACTTTTTTTTGACGGAAGTCACCTGTGGGCCAGATGTGGCCCAGGACCCACCAGTTGAATAGCCCTGATGCACAACTAACTGATTAGGTTGAAACCAGCCTGATCCAAAATGGCTGCTACAGACAGCTGAATCAGAAAACACGACAATGCCAATAATTCAGTCRGTTTTAGAGATGTTGAGCTAAAATGTAGTACACTAGTCCTTCAATTTAGTACTTAACATCTCAACAGCAAAACCAACAAAACAAAGGCAGTAAGGGTAGGATAGGTTTGTAGCATGCTGTTGTTCTTTAACAGTAAACCAGGTCCTTTTTAATGCTTTCATTCCAACATGTAACAAAATCTCTGGATGCTTAAATGAAAAAAAAAATGATGCAGCAGAACAACAAAATCCCTGCCCACCGCTGTGACATGAACAGAACCTCTGCACCCTGTCAGACTGTCTGCTGCAGGTTGAAATGAGACAATGACTCATGTGGAAGTCCCACCGGTGCTCCTGAACGACCAGCTGCTTCTGTAGTTCAGCCACATTAACTCAGCGGCCCTCTTCCTTGAAATCTCATCAAACACCGCATATTTCTTTCTGGGTCACAACACACTCCAAATATAGTTCTTTTTATCATCCGTTTATGATGTTTACACTCGCTGCTTCTGGTCGCTGTCCTCCTGAAACACTCCACAAAATATGTGAATTGGTAATATATTAGAAAAAAAATGCATGAGAGCATCACATTTGTCCTGCAGTCTCTGCGTGTTTTTAAATCTAACCTGGACAAACCCTAAAAAATATTTTATGTGCGGCTTTGTCTAATATTACGACTTGTCAAAGTTGATCTCAGAGCATCTGTTGTAAAAACTCTCAGCTACTACCACACCAAATTTCAGCTCAATACCTGTAAAATGACCTGAATTAAGCATATTTCTGTGCCGTTAAGTTCAGTTGGCTGTGGCAGCCATCTGTAATTAGGTTGTCTCCAAATGTTAATCATTCGCAGATTTGAACAGTAACATTTTTTTTATCTGTTTTGTGGTTCATAAAATATTTTGCTAACAGACAAAACAAGAGCGACTCCAACGGTTAATGCTGACATTTTAGGCAAAAGCAATGCATAAAAGTGAGAACATTATTTAGGAATGGACCTCAGCTACTATCATACTAAATTTTAGCAAAATATCTGTAAAACTTACTGAATTATTGGGATTTTTGTCTTTTCTATGTTGAATTCACTGTGGCAGCCATGTTGATTGGATTGACTCCAAAAATTAAACAGCTGTAGACATAGACCCAATGATAACTGTCTGAGAGCTCCATCAAAATTAGTTCAGTGTTTCATGAGATATTTTGCTAACAGACAACGCAGGCAAGACTCTAACAGGTAATGCAGAGCTTTTAAGCAAAAACTTACTTGCAATATAAAAAAGTGAGAATTTTAGTTGKGAACAATCAACAGYTACTACCACACTAAACTTTAGCAAAATATCTGTAAAATTGACTGAATTGTTGAGATTTTTGTGCTTTCTTTGTAGTTAGCTATGGCATCCATGTTGTATTGGATTGGCTCCAAACATTAATCAACTGGAAATGAATCCCTACTGATAATCTTTTGAGAGTTTCATCAAAATTTGTCCAGAAGTTCATGAGATATTTTGCTAACAGACTTGACACACAGATGTTGGCAAAAACACATCTGGCCTTTGACCTTTTGATGACAAAAGTGTGGCACCTACAGTAAATCCTCCACAGTGTTGTGGTTTGGTGTCGATCTCACCTGTAGGTCATGGCTGAGCGGCCGGCCTCACACTCAGCCAGGGACAGGCCGTACTCCCTCAGGTATAGCTCCAGGCGCCGGCGCTCCACCAGCCTGTGCGCYGCCTCCAGGATCTGGGAAGCGAAGGCCTCCGACTCGCTCCTCGGCTCCGGGGTCTTACCGCTCCGGGTCCCAGACTTGGCCGCGATGCTCCCGGAGGAGGTGGACGCCTTGGGCTTCTTGCTAATGCCATAAAGGTCCTCCACTGAGTATTTCCCCCCACCTTTCCCTCCACCGCTGGCTCCACGGCTGGCAAACATCGCTGTGGAGAATCCAGGTGCAGCCGGACTAAAACTCTGCTCACTTTTCCCACATCTGCTTTAGACAGAAGCTGCCTCAGAGTTTAAAATAAAAACAAGGCAGAGCTATTTTAATAAGATTCTTGAAGGTTTGAAGCATCCGGCTCGTCAGACACCAAAGAGTTTGCAGCTCTTGTAAAATATCAAACRGGGATGATGTTTCTTTTATAACGAAAATAAAACAAAGCCGGTCCTGATGTGTCAGCAGTCACAAACGATGGCTCCTGCTGATATGAGATGCCGCACTGAGCGTAAAAGAAAATAACGCAGGGGAAAAGCAATCAGGATCTTTTTCTCTTTATCTCTCAAAGGAGGGACAGTGAGGGGATTTGTGAGCTTACATTTGTTCAGATTAAGAGAGCGTGCAGAAGTATGTGGACGTCTGTGGCTGGACTGTATAATCACTGGAGGCTTTGAGAGCCTAAAGCTCTCTGACCTTTTTTCTGCAGATGCAAAGTGYTGCTGATTTTTCTTCTTTTTGTTTGTGTTTTCCCATACACCATCACTGCTGCGCTGGGATCCACTCTCCTGCTGCCTAYCAGCTCACTGGGACTACAGGCTGGRCTAAAGGGGAAAAGTTATGAACATTTAGTATCTTACCTGCTGTAGATAAGCCTTTGAATGATCTTGCATTGCATAAAAAGGGCTTATTGCATAAATTTCTCAATAATTTGAAGACACAACTTAGGCCAACTCCACAAAAAAAGAACAAAGATCAAAATTTACTTTAGGTGCTGYCAATCAGGTGCCTGCTTTAAGATTTATTGCCAAAAAGCATCTTTTTGTGCTAAGTTGTTTTCAAAGTTAAAGAATATTGGAATTGTTATAACACTGCAAYCCTCTTTGGTCTTTTTTACTTGTTTAAACTAACCATTAGCTCATCAGTCCAGTCAGAATTACTGTTAGTTTCTCCAAACTGAGGTTGTTCACAAGCTATCTACAGCAGGTAAGATATTGACTGTTCTTTCCATCGAACTTCACTTTAAAATACCTTTAATGTGCAACTTAAACCCTAATGCCTTCTTTTTTGTTTTGTTTTGGTTTGGTTTTTTACAAACTAAGAACGCAAAATGTGCAAAATTCCCAAAATGTCCTGTTTGGAGGCAAAAGGACTTTTCTGTGCAGGAAAAAAAAAAAGAAGTTTGGTTGAAGAAAATACGAAAACACCAAGGCCAGGGAAAAACAGRCTGCTGGGGTTTAAAGCAGGATGCTGATGAAGAGGATTACTCCTCGACAGCACATTCAGAGAAATCTGATGCTCTCTTGCTCAATCCCTTCTTTAAAGCTGCTGTGTTGAGGAAAATACGTGCACGCTAATGTTTCAGATCTCCTCCATCACTGAAGCTGCAGCGAGACGTTATCCCGGAAACATCTTTCCATGTAAACCTCCCCTCAGATGGCTTTAATGGCTGCATCAGGATGATTAAAAACTATCAATGACTTCATAAATTGGTAAAAGTGCATCGGCACACAGATGTCAGCCTCGTTAAGGGTTTGATGGCCCCACTCGCTCATCTGTTAAACCGTCTCGGCTCCTTCATCTTCCAGCTGTCACGGCCCTCGCTGCCTTTGCTGCAGTGTCTTTTCGAGGCAGAGATCATCTGGGATTAAGCTGCTATAATCACTCTTTCAATTGGCCGTAGTCTCACAGGCAGCTGCTGGAAACCAGCCTTGATCTGCCGCCCCCGCCTCTGGAAATTACAGCACCTAGTGTTTCCAGGGTCAAGGTGAATACACCTAGGCCTCCGTCTGCTCTAAGTTGTGGGATTAATCTGAGAGAAGAYAAAGGGGGAAATAATCTGACATATTTTGATTTTGAGCTGTCCTGGTTTCCATCTTGTGTAACCTTCAGAAGCGGTTGAAATGGATGGTTTGTTTTTAGTCCTTTTCTTGCATAACCGTGCAAAGATAGATTCAGTCAGTATAACAATATATATATGAGGYGTGTAGAAGGGAAAAAAAACATGAAGGGATCAAAGAAGTTTTCTTCCAGCTTGAACATATTGTACAGGGATGAGTGGGTGGTGTGCTGTTTGGGAGGGAGAAGGCGGTCGTGCCTGTTCAGGATCTGTCCTCAGCTTCACTGGCAAATTCTTTCTTTTCTCTAAAAGAACATTTTAATCGTTACTGTAACTGTTRTAAGTGTCGAGCAGGGAGGGTTAAAGACGTAAACCATCTGTGTCACGGGGAAACTCTGGCATCCCTCTCTGCAGACACACTCTCCAGCTTCCCTTTAGTTCTAATCTGTGAGTCATTTTGTTGATGTGATACAGGGGGTTCGGGTCTTGATGACGACCACCATAACATTTGTGTTTGTGTGTGTAGGAGAAAGAGAGAGAGTATGATATCCAGATAAATAGAAATGCATGTGGGTTATGAAAATTGTCAAGAAGGTACAATATGTTCCTTGGGTACCAGGGTCGAGAAGCTAGTTTATTTTATTTGCATGTGGACCCCCTGAAAAGACTTGGCAAACCCCTTGCAGAAAAGCCTGGCTGCTGGCAGTGATGATGTCACTCAGGAAACTTTTGGAAAACACATTTTGGATTAAAAGTTCCACTAATGCTGTTCTGGCACAAACACACACAGATATAATACGTGACTCTCTTCATAAGGACTTTCCTTTTCATTTTTAATTGTCATACCCTAACCCAGTGGTTCCCAACCTTTTTAGACTTGTGTATCCCCTGAGCCCTTTTGTCATATCACCAGTTCCCCCTCAGTCAAATGAAATGATGATTCTCCAAAACTATAATTTACTACAACTGATTATTTAATTAAAATTATTTATTTAATCCCCTAGAACATTTAATTCTCAGGCATTTAATTTTTTTCAGCTCAAATTAAACATAAGGATAAAGATATTGCCTTGAAMGTGAATAGGCAATTAAATAAATAAACCAGGTGTAGAAAACAGCTGCGTCCAAAATACATCAGAAACTCACCCAAATAAGCAAATTTCGTGAATTTCCAGATTTTATACTGGATTCCATTTTGTGTTAATTYTGTGATTCTGTCTGCAATTTCCGCATTGTGGAAATCATAGGGCCCTACATATCTCAGTCCTATTTTTATTTATTTTTACACACCTGGGAAATTTTTCCTCGTACCTCCTGTAATATGCTTGCATACTCCTGGTTGGGAATCACTGTGTGAAGGGCTGAAGGAACTGTCCAAGGTCCTGAAAGTGCTGGAATGTTTCAGGACCTTGGACAGTGGCTGTGTCCAAAACGGCAGGCCGGGTCCTCCGAAGGCCGAATTCGTCAGCCGCATACGTCACAGGGCCGCGACGAAGGCCGTCCAAAACGATGCGGCCAACAAATACATCCTTCCTTTTTCCCRATTTGAAGGACAGGTCTGATGGATCCTTCCCGGCCCAGCATATCCCATAATGCATTGCGGCCCGACCGGAGATTCTTTTTTTCTTGTAATGGCGGATGAACCGAGAGTCGAAGTGATGGAGTACAGTTTTAAATGTAAGTATATTAAAATCTGCCTGTAAAAAATAAAAAATTTTAAGCTTTAGTCCTTTGCATATACAGTATGTTTTAAAATAATATTTATCTCAGAAATATCGTGAATGAGCTCGTATGGCGGGTCCTTTAGTGTTTCGTGTATTCCCGCTAACTAAGCTAGTTTTTAATTTGAGACCTTTTTATTTGCTATTTTTTAGGGTCCAAGGAGCAGACAGAAGCTTTTATAAAGCTGAGGGGAAAAAATGAACACCTCTTCACAGGGTTTAAGAATTCGGCYGCTGTGGGATGGAGGTACAAGAATAAACTTATAATAGTTATTAAAATACTTATAACCTGTGATCTTAAATGGAGTATACTTTCAATGGAATTCCACTGGCTTTCCTTTTGTGTTCTGCTATGAAAATTATTTTTACAAGAAGGGATTGAYAGCTTACATGTTTCCTCTTCACTTATTTTTGTGTATGTTATAAGGACAATTCTGGAGAAGATGGGCCTGCAGGATAAAGTCACCCCACTGCAGGCCAAAAAGAAGTGGGACAACTTGAAAAGAAAGTATAAAGCATGTATATGAGAAGTGAAGAATTACATTTTTTAACTGCACATGTTAATAAATGTTCATTTTTAAAATATGTTTGTTTCTTTTATTGTCAACTGGGATTTCTGATTTCCTCTGTGTTTAGGATTGCAAGTATCCAGGTTCAGGAGAGGGAGTCAGTGGGAAGCCCACTGCTGCTACTTGTAGGGATGTTGACATTTCGTCAGCAGCTGCTGCCATTTTCTTCCCAAACAGCTGTGGCCATATTTTGCAAGGCTGCTCTGTGCGTTTGCTTGTAATTTCCTCCTGCTTCATTATTTCTACGGATTTCAACAAATCGGGCTGCCGTCAGGTAGTTAGCTACAGCCTTGTCTTTGAGTTTTTAATTTTTGTTGATGCGTTTTGAAGAGACAATTTTTGAAAAGAGGATCAAAGTAAATCACCCGAGTTTTTCTAGTGACCCCTTAAAGAGATAAGCTGCCATGAAGAACATTATTTTATCTGCCCTTTTTCCAAATTTGATAATGATTTGAAACGTTGAAGTATGTTTTTTTAAAATCCGGAACAGCGCTTGTTGCAAAGTGTTTTGACGCTCGTCTTCGTCACTTGACACATTTAACACGCTGTCATTGGTTGAGGAGCTTTGTTTACAAAGCAGATGTCCACATGGTTTTTAAATTGTTTTAATTTCCTTACTTTCTAAGTCACATTAATTTGATTTGATGCTACAGTTTGCCTTGTAATATAATTTTATGCCTTTTCTGCTATTTTTGAATTGGCTATTCTTAAGTTTTATTAGTTTTTAGGATACAAGATGCTTCCTACAAAACCAGAATGGGAATCTTTTCCTAAAATTTCRTGGCGAAATCTTGAACACTGAGKAAGTTATGGGAAAAATTAGAAAACAGCAAGGTGAAATGGTCACACAGGCCCCATTGGTTCTGCAAGAAAACATGAGCTGATTTCACCAAAACAAACATCAATAACTTCCCTCATACTTCAGATAATCACATGATTTTGGTGTTATTTTTTGTGGTTTGAAATGTTCTTTTGGAATCCGCTGTCAGATTTAATATTGGTGTAGGATTAAAAATTTATCCACATCCCTACTACTTGGCCCTGGTTTGACCTGGATGGGTGAGGTGTTAGGACAGAGGCCTTCCATTATGCCTCCTGTCCTAATTTCCTCCATCCCTGAGGACACTCCAGGGCCAAGTG